CAGCAAAGGAAATAAAACATGTGTAATGTTTCTTCCATGCTTTTACCTTTGAGGTACACAGAACAACAGTAACCATCTAAACAAACAAATCCTCTCCACTCTGGATGGAAAAACAAAATCCCTACCACAGGCTACTTTGGGTACAGGCCAAATATACAGTAGAACTTATAACTTCTTAACTAATAACTTTAATTCTTACTGGAATTGTTCATTTTCTTGTGCTTTCCAAGGACATCTAACTCAATAACAATTCATTTAAAAGATATGCAAAAAAAAACCTAGTTACACAGAAAATAAGGGTTTGAAAACTGCAAACCAGAGCAGCTAGACTGCAATAAACAGTGGCAAGAAAAAAAATAAGGGAACCATTTGGGATTGCCTGGTTTTCTGCATGAATCGCTTATAAAATGTGATCCAATCTTCACCTGAGTCACAAGTATAAACCAACACAGTATGCTTAAGCTAATAACATACAATTGTATTTTTCATGTTGCTATTAAACCTACCCATTAAACATTTTAATTGCTGGTGGAAAAAAATAACTGAACCCTTGCATTTAATAAGTGGTTGATGTTCCTTTGGCAGCAATAACAGCAAACAAGCCCTTCCTGTAGCTATGGATCAGATCTGCACAAAATTCAGGAGGAATTTTGGACCATTCGTCCTCCCAGAGCCGCATCAGCTCAGCTATATTCCTAGCATGCCAAAATATTGAGTAATTTGTCTTTGTACTAAAATAATCAAACCATAAAAAGTGGTGCGACAGTGGTGAAGTGGGTAGAGCAGTTGTCTCCCAACCGGAAGGTTGAAGTGTCCTTGGGCAAGACACTGAAGCCCCAAGTTGCCCGTGTTGCCAGTGTTACAATGACAATAAAATAAAGCTTCTTCTTCTTCTTCAAAGTGCCATCTCCAGAAGCCCCCTTGTAAAGTCAAGGAAGGTTTTCAGCAGTTTTTCCTCAGCTTTTTACAGAGCTCTATGTGACTGTGGCTTCACCATGGGACACACTTTGTCTTGTTTTCAATCTAAATCTGTTTATTGTATAAATAATTAACCCTAACACAAAAGAAAAGCATTTGAGAAACTGTTATGTTTCATGCTTTGGCTGAATTATGAGCAAGTTGAAATGGAAAAATCTGTTGTGCGTAAACCGGTCACTCACTGAATCTATTATTCACCAAAAAATACCCTGATTACAGCACTTGACACTGAGGCTGAACACACTGGAAACTGTCAACATGTAGTGAAGTCACACAGGAAGCTACCATAATGTCAACACAGCACACTGTCATCAAGGGAACCATAACAAGAAGGTGGCACTGGCCTCACACATGAATCAAGAGCAATAGAGGAGCCAATGAAGAATGTTGTTGCACACATACTTGTGATGACAGAAGTAAACACTTCAGTCTATGCTCCAGCCGAGAAGACTCAGATCTGTACAGCTACATCTAATCTGTGCAGCTTTTGTTCAGGAGCTCTTTTGTCTCAAGTGCCAGTATCATTCTCCTCTCACAGCTGCCTGTATGATGTTTTATCATTGATGTAGAGCAAACTGAGGACTGTTTGAAAATGACATTTTGTTAAAGGGGAACACTGATGATTAAGTATTTCACTTCAGTAAAGCCGGAGAAATCACAAGAGACAGCTCTTAAAAAAAAGAAGTGATCAAAATCAAAGCAGCAGAGACAATTCCCACAATTCCCCTGGATCACTATTTTTATGAGATCCTGTCTACCTGAAAAACATCCACATCTTTCAAACTGTGTGCCCCAGTTTGTAATTTAGGTTTTCTGTCCTAATGTTGCAAAGTCCAAGATAAAACTAAAGCCATCAGGGTTACTCAGAATTGACAAATCCCCACTAGAGCAACACACAACATTATGCAACTGTTTTCATGGGCCAAGTAGCAGAAACAATCGTGACTACACTGATCCTCATGTCAAATCGCCCTTTAGGTGAATGAGAAGGTTGTGTACTACTTAGCTTATTTATACCTTTGCTTTCTTATAACAACATTCTTTGTATTCAATAGAACTGAAGAGATGTGTGTAGCAAAAACTGTTTTGGCCTCAACAGCAGCCCCGTGGTTACCCTGCAGAGGTATTATTCTATCACCTGTGGTCTGTTGGCGCGAAATTGTACACCACATGTATATTTGATAGCCATACAAGGAGCAACATTATTTCTGTTTGTGTTACTGTCATTGTCAAAGAGGGACTTTTTTCAAATCTTTGTGTGTTTGTGACACAGCTATAGCTGAAGTTGATGTCTTTTAAATCTGGAGACAATTAGCTGCTGGAATAGAATCAGAATGCCAGAGCAAGTCATAATGTAGGTCTAAGGAAAATAGATTTCAGCTACACATTGGTGTTTTGACAGGGAATCAGGAGAAAGAAACAGAGACAGTGGTATTATAAGACTTCATCCTTTTCTTCCCCTTTCTCTCTGCCTCAATTTGACACATCTGCAGAACAGATTATCAAGGGTGAAATTAATCCCTGATAAGACTCCACATTAACACCTTGCTGTTCTAGTGTGCATCTGTCTCTGGTCTGATTGATTAGCTGCCGAAAGCCTTGTGGTATACAGCAATGCAACAACTTTCACCTTCTCCAGGTCACAAAACAGAAAATTACTTTTGAAATTTAGCTTTATTTTTGTATCTTGGTTTTTTTTTTCCCCTTAGCACCTGAGTCTCTGTCTCATGTACACACCACCCGTCCACACCGTCGCATACCCTCCTCTTTAAATCTCTCTTCTATTTGAGGTCCTGTGAGACACACACACAATCCTTGGAAGAGTTAAGCTTATGCCTTCAGCCATGTCATACTGCCTTGCCCTGAGTGGGAGCAGGAACATAACGTGTATTAAGAATTCATGGCATGTCTTTGAATGAAATGATCCATGATAAAGTAGGGAAGCATGGAAACAGGCAAAAATACAAATACAGGTCTAAGCAGAAATAGGCAAGCAAATTCCTACATTGTCTCCCAACCGGAAGGTTGAAGTGTCCTTGGGCAGTGTTACAATGACAATAAAATAAAGCTTGTCCTCATATGAGGACGCAGGGACTCTAGAGGTTATGCCACCATGTACACATACCTCTGGAGGTACAAAGATACACAAATCATGACATTTTCTCACACGTGCAACAAAACATGGACACAGTCATGATTTTTGTAAAATGGTTTTATGGCTGCAACCTGCCCGTCTGAGATCTGATAAGCACACTGGGCTGTTGTGTCCTTTTCACTTCCTGAACATCCCCTCCTTTCTTCTCTGCCATCCCACCTAACACACACAGCTGGCTCTGCTAGTGATGAAAGTTATACATCACTTTTTTCATCCATTCCTCACAATCACTTCATCTCTCCATATCACATCTGCCAAATAATTTATCTCAAGCTTGCAGCATAAACAGAAAAAGTGCCGGAGCAACTCCAATATGTCACACATATTCCAATAAAACCAACCACAGGAGCAGGTTTTACTGGTTGCCCACAGACCACAAAACTACTCCAACTATAAATCTCTTTCCCAAGTTAACTCTGAGAAGAAAACATTTACCCCAACAATTTGAATGTATCCCTCCACCATAGCTCAGCAAGGAAATACTATCCCGGAAAACTTGGCTTAAATTGAAACTACACCTTTGAAAGAAACCAATTCAAAGTAGTTTAGAGGGATAGCTGATTTGAGCCACAGACAAACTTTGGAGTGCATCATTACACAAAATGAGGGTTGTGTATTTTGTCCCTTTCTTTGGCAGCATAGATAGCTTTATGTGTGGAAACCTTCAAGGTCCGTGTAGAAAGCAGGAAAAGTTACAAGACCTATTCTCACATACATAATTGGCACATCAATATTGATTAAAGACCAACTTAAAAACTCCAGAACCTATTCTTTAATAAATATTTTCTTATCTGATTGTGGTACAGTATTGTTGCTGACTTCTGTTGCAATCAGAGGGCAAGAAGTCTACAAAAACAACAAAAAGTCAGTTAATCGGTGTTCTAACCCTGCAGAACATTAACTTTTATGTCTGAATACGTGAAACAAACCTGGCTGAGTTATTGATGAAATGGTAAGATCTGCAAATAGCAAAATCTGCCCAACAGTTGAGATGTTTGGAAAAAAGTTCTTGGAAGAAAAGGGGGATAAAGTAAAATAAAGCTGCTGAAGCCAGGGGTTTTCAAAAGCTAAAGACTATGGTGATTGTTGTTCTGTCAGTCCAGCCTACAGTGAGACATAGCGGATACTGCTTCTGTTGACCTAAACAACCTGAATGAACATGCAAAGTAAGGACCCAGGACAGTGGGTTTTAATAGCCAGTGGAGTGTGCTGCCATCTAGTGGCTAAGCTGTTAAGAGATTGGCAAATATTATACATCTTTAAGTAGAAATTAGAGGGCTTTAAAGTAATTCATTTTGTATCTATGTTTATTAACAAAACAGAAAATGGTTTATACCAATTTAAAAAAAAACATACATATAAAAATATGTTAAGTTAACGGATGTCTACAGAGACATCAGTAAAAACTTAATGTAAAAGCCTCCATGTTCATGCAACCACTAGATTTACTATGAATCTGTGACAGCGTAACATTTTTTTTAAACTTTTATTTTATTATGTTTTACATTTCTATTGTAATTTTGTTTATCTAAGGTTGTAAGTCACACATTTTCAAATTTTAGAACAAGTGAATGAAAATCTAAATTTTACTGTCAAAGACAAAAGCAAACTATAAACACAAATGACAGGGGCACGTCCCACACACTCCTATAGCCCCTGAAATTATCTCCACCTGTGGACACCTCCACCCTGCTGGCTCTCTTTACAAACTGTTTGCCTTGAGTCTGAAGCTCTCCAAAGTTTCCTGCATCTTCTGAATAGCAGCCGCATCATCTGCAACAGCCTTAGAGCAAACACGCTGCACTTTGCTGTAGAGATCCTCCTGGCTCTTCTGTAGTACAAGAACCACAAGAAGCAAAGGTGAGCACAAATCAAGCTGCAGAACTGTGAGCTGAGAAAAGCCTCAACACGTTTGTATTACACCTTATTCTATTTGAATAAGATACTGTAAATACAGGCACAAGGATTCAGATAGTTAATGTGCTTTAGGTTTCTGACTGCACCAAGAAACAAGCATGATCCACTTAATAACATGTCTTTTAGTTTTTTTTTAGTACAAATAATATTTTATGTTTAGAGAACTCTATAAATGCCTACATCCTGTAAATGCAAGTACATTTTCTAAGATACAGATTTTTCCTTACGGTACTAGAGACAAACAGTGTTGTAGGAGCATTACCTCTGTAACTGTCAAGTGATTAGCAGCTGTGGCAAACACAGATGCCAGGTTGTTGGCTACCGTTCGCCTCTCCTCATTGGTCTCCTGCAGCACCAGGTGGTACCTGGAGAAGAGAAGTCTTCAGTTTTAAATCAAACTTTGACACAAGTGAAGAGCCTAAAGATATTAAAGCTAACACAAAAAGCTACACTTTATCTGTGAATAAATGAGGCAGAGATAAAAGTTACTTGATATTGCAATTTGCCAGTGCTGGTAGTCACTTACTGCTGTTGCGCTGCCTTCAGTTGTTGCACAGCCTCATCGTAACCAAGATTAATTTTCTTCTCCAGAAGTTCATGGTAGTTATCCACAGATTCCATCTCTGCTGCCCATTCCTGTTCCTCACGGGCCAACTCCTATACAGACAGACACAAACATACAACCAGGGATGGGATGCAAAGGCATTTTACTGAATTGGAATCCGGTTCTGAATTCACTAAACAGATCCAAATCCTTTCAAAAGCCATACTGAATCTGTTTAAAAAGTCACTTCAAAGAAGTGTCATGTTTTTATTTATAGTCAGCATATTAACTATTCATTACTGAAGGACCAATCACCAGACAAGCCAGACTCTGACAACAGTAGAAACAACATAACTAACCATCAAACCTCAACTATGCACATTCCACTGTAAGAGCTGTAGAACTTTCACCACCTTTTGTTCTTCACCATTCAATGAAAATGGATCAATTTAATCACGTTCTGCATTTACAATACACTTAACATTACCTGAAGTGAACTTGGTCCTGCACTGTTAAAGGTCACAGAATACAGCCTAACACCAGCAGTATGCTTGTTTGTCTCAACGTATCCAAAGTGCAAGTTCTACTTTAACAAGTTGGACAGTAGATAAATATTTAAACAAAGCATTTAGCACTGCTCCTTCATTGGCAGTAAAAATACTACATTTTACAGCTGTTTAATTGATGTTGGAACATTTAGGCTGGTCCAGCATGCTTGTTTATAATGCACTGGGTTACACATTTCTTTGTATACATCATCTGATTTTTCTTTGCTAATGTCCATAGCATCAGAGAGAGAGAAAGGCCAAAGAGATTAAACTCAACAGAGATTTGTTTTGCTGCAGAGCTTAACAAATCCTGGTATTTCACCTACTTGGATCTGGCTATTGGACCCAACCACCACATACTGGAAACTATAGTTAACACATGGATAAAGCAACCGTGCATTTCTGTGTTAAAAACATATTAAGATCTGTTAAATGATTCCTGTCTGTTTCCAAACAGTTGCATTCAACATTGCTGACAATTAAAATAAACAATGTCATACTTTATGGAGCAGGTATAAAGATTTTTCTGTTAATTTTATTTAGAAGGCTTTCAATTTTCAAAGATCACAGGTCCTTAAAGTGGTCTCACTGTTTAAAATCCTGAGCCTATGCCAGTTTCAACAGCTACTTATCTTATAAGCTTTCTTACATCCATGGAGAATATAAAGCATCTGCTAAAAGATATAAGAACCTGGACAGTGATTTCACTTTAGACTAAATATGAGTGTGGTGGTCAATTCTAACCCACCTCTTACACAGTCATGAAGCAATTTTTAAACTATACCTGCATGTTGGAATCCAGTCGTTCATCCACTTTGCGAATCTGCTCCTTTAACTGCTTCAGATCATTGGACTTGTCTAAGATGTTAGATTTGAACTAGAAGACAAAACAAAGCACAACCAGTTTAAATGCCACACTGCCGTCAGACTAAAGTGTGGATTTGATAGCCTACTGCTGTATATCTAGACAGAACTTTAACAATTTCGCTACCTGTTCATAAGCCTCTTCCGCGCTCAGATTCATGTTGACTAATCGACTGTTCTCTTCCTCCACATCACTGATCAACTTCCTGAGCACCACCTACAAAACACAAAGTAAGGTTTTCAATGACCTGCAATGGAGATAAACATTAAAATACAATATAAAAAGATGTGTGCCTTTATTCTGAAGTTAATTAAAATACCAAAGTCTGCTCTTGTACACAATCATAAAGTTGTTTAAACCGGATCATTAGTTGATGATACCTGTATTGGCATTTTATGCTGAACCATGCTGCCTGATCCATAATCATAAGAACTGATCTCAAAGTCGTGACCACAGGCGTTCTCTGCAGACTGTGGTATCAGCTTCAGTTTACGTGCCAACTTCTGATAGTCCCCTATTTTCAAATCCACCTGAAAATGGGAGGAATTACAGGACAAACACAGGAGAGACAAAAAAAAGTTCACAGATCAAAATATGTACCACTGGATAAAAAATATTTGATACTGCCCATCTACGCTGACCAAACCAAGCAAGCACAAAAGGACAGATACTGCTGTATACAGTGGAGTCCTGCATTAGGTCAGGTAACCACAAGAAATGATGTCTAATGAGTAAAAAAATGTATAATAATTCATGGAAAAAAAAAAACTAAATGCGGGCAGGTAGGAAGTGAACTGAACAATGCAAGATAAAAAAGAAATAAAGACACAGCTTCTTTTACACGTCTAATCCAGCGGTTTTATCGAGCCTAAATAACCGATACATTTATTGTGAAGGTCTAATGCACATGTGAACCCTCAACTCAGATCCATCTAACAGGATGCCACTCAGACATCAACATAGACTAGGCATCAGTGTGTCAAACTAAATAACCTAAAGAGTAAAACAGCCAGTAGTGAATATGCAATACGTCATCAAAGGACTCTGGGTATATAGTATAGCACCATAATTTTCAAAAATTACAAAATTAAGTGTTTTCGATCTAGAACTTCATATATAGGAAAAGGCTACTAGTTATTTTGGGAAACCTGTAAGATATTCAATATGTACTACATCACCAAATGGGTCTATGCCTGCTCCTCTTTGCTTATACACTACATGTACATACAGTACCTTCTCTTTCACTTTGGCCAGAGCAATCTCTTCATTCCACTTGTGCCGTTCAGCATCTTCAAGAGACTTGCTAAGACTGGATATGATCTGTTGGAGCTCCCGCTTCTCTCTGTTTATCCTCTCTACATCAGCTGGAGTCAACTTCTGGTTCTCCAGGAGATGTTGCAGTCCACCCTGTTCATGTTTCAGACACTCCAGAAGATTTGCTGCAAAATGGCAGAGGAGAAGCATGATGCACATACAATCAGATCCAGTTCTCAGACCTTCAAATAATTTCCCAGTAAGACCACATAACATTTTATTTGAACACCTGGGTAACAATGTGCCACTTAAAACCCCAAAACCGTTTAGTATACACTCACTTTTAAGTCAGGGTAAAGCAAAATCAGCGATTTTTCTCTAAGCACATGATACATATCAGAAAATAGTTGCTGAAAACCTATGAAAAGACAGAACTACATAGTGCTGAAATGTGCAGTGAGACCGTTCTATCATTTTTGAGTTGAGGATTCTTTGAGGAGGGCAGAAAGCACGGCTTGATGACACACTGGAGCCATCCTTAAAATAAAAGCTAGGATACACAGAGCTCTATGCTTACAACTGTTTTTAGGGGCACTCACTATGAGCACAGACATAAATTTACATCCACAGTTATGTTTTTTTTTTTTAAGAAATAACGTTAATTCTAGTAACACATGAATGTGGGGGAGCAGATGTGAACAGACCGTAGTTGGTGAGAGGAGTAAACGGCCACACTGTGGCTTTACCCAGATTTGACATGGTTAGATGGAACCCTTTACTGCCAGTTTTTACCATTGGTCTCCAGCTCATCATTCAGTTCTGAGACTTTGTTTTCCTGGTTGGCTTTAAAGGACTTCAGGTTGCTTCGATAACTCTGGATTTTCTTGAGGTCTGTCTGCAGCTGCATTTTTTCCATCCTCTTGGTTATTAGACGGTCCTATCCAGGAGACAGAAAATTCTCTCTGATTCATTGCTGGTCACATTAAAGATTATTCATATTACTGAAAGAACTCAGTACCAATGAGCACAAAACCTATAACAGCCCAAAGGCTGAAAACATCTCAGCTACAGCTTTCAACCCTTTGCATTTCCAACAGTCATGAATATTTCAATTTATGTTCCTTTAGTGCTAAAATTATTTCCATTTAAAGTCAATCTAATCTGCACATATGGGAATGTGTTCATATAAAAATCTTCTTGCCGTCTGACTCTCCTTCTCCAATCGTTCAACCTCTCCACTAAGAATGCTGTGCTTTTTCTCCTCCGAGGCGAGCAGGGCTTCATCAACTTTCAGAAGCTTCTCTGTGAAGAGACACACACCTCTAATTGATTTTCAATATAAAAAAAAAGTTTTATGGAACTTTGATTTTTCCTTAAAATCTACATATAAACCAAAACTAACAACTGAATTAACATAATTCAAATATATAAAGAAAGTAATGAATTTTAAAACTATTAATTTCATAGTGATCCTGTGCTTACTTATTTTAGTGAGGTGTACTTCATCCTCATCCTCAAATGTGTCATCACCCTGCATGAACTTAGAGTACGTGTCAACTGTGTGGGCCATGAGGAGCTTCATAGGAACAAAGTAAGAGAAAATATTAAAACAACAACAACACAGAGAGAGAGATGTACATCTTTTAGATATGTCATCTTCTCCCATTCTTCCTTGCAAAAGGCTTCTAGTTCTGTAATATTCTTTGGTCGTCTTGCATGCACAGCTCTTTTAAGATCTACCCACAAATTTTCAATGATGTTTAAATCAGGGGACTGTGATGGCCATTCCAAAACCTTCAGCCTGCGTCTCTTGAGGTATTCCATAGTGGATTTCGAGGTATGTTTAGGATCATTGTCCTGTTGTAGAAGCCATCCTCTTTTCAGCTTCAGCTTTTTTACAGATGGTGTGATGTTTGCTTCCAGAATTTGCTGGTATTTAGTGGAATCCATTCTTCCCTCCACCCGTGCAATGTTTCCTGTGCCACTGGCTGCAACACAACCCCAGAGCATGATAGATCCACCCCCATGCTTAATAGTTGGCAAGGTGTTCTTTTCATGAAATGCTGCTCCTTTTTTTCTCCAAACATGCCTTTGCTGATTGTGTCCAAAGAGTTCTATTTTAACTTCATCAGTCCACAGCACTTGTTTCCAAAACGCATCGGGCTTCTGTAGATGTCCTGTTGCATACTTCAGACGTTGGATTTTATGATGGGGACGCAGATAAGGTTTTCTTCTGCTGACTCTTCCATGAAGGCCTTGTCTGTGCAAGCATCGCTGCACAGTGGAACGGTGCACCACCACTCCTGAGTCTGCTAAATCTTCCTGCAGGTTTTTTGCAGTCAAATGGGGGTTTTGATTTGTCTTTCTGACCAGCATACGAGCAGTTCTGTCCGAGAGTTTTCTTGGTCTTCCAGATCTCATCTTGACCTCCACAGTTCCCCTGATCTGCCATCTCTTAATTACATTTCTTACTGTGGAAACTGCAAGCTGACAACGCTTTGCTATCTTCTTGTAGCCTTCTCCTGCATTGTGGGCATCAATAACTTTCATTTTCAGGGTCTTACACAGCTGCTTAGAGGAACCCATGGTTGCTGGGTGTCCACAAGTGTGTGCACAAGGTTTGAAGAGTCAAAGTATTTGTACAGCTTTGAAATTGGCATTTACCAATGACAGCTGTTGCTGTGCATCAGATCTAACGAGCTGATTAAGGTCTGATACCTTGTGAGAGACTTTGAGACTCTGGAACTCTTAGGGTGCCCAAACTTTTGCACCATGCCATAATAATGTTTTTATTTTTTATTTTTGTTCAATTTATGGCATAAGAAGTAACTATGCATCACTGTTTGCAGAAAATATTGTGCATTTTTTCCATTTCCAAGAGAAACTGTGTTAACATCTGTTCAAATAAAAAATCACCAAAATCTGTTATTTATCAAGGGGTGCCTAAACTTTTGCATAAGACTGTATTCATTCTGTCAATAGTGGTGTACTTAGGCCTCATGGTGCTGTTTAAAGAAGTCGAAGTACCTTCCCTTCCTCAACATCGACACCGTCTTCACAGAAATCGCTGAATGGAAGCTCTTGCTTAGTCAAACTCCAGGTGATCTTATACACAAACAAAGTACCCACAGAAAATACTGGTTTTAGCTCATTTCATTTGACATAAAATAGAATAATAGAGTTTAATCATTTTGTTGCATTCTGCATCTTATGCAAATGAGTCTGGTTTTAGATAATAATGGTCCTCAGTAATTCCCACTAAAAAGTGTTGCCTGCTTCTCACCTTGACATTATCAATAAGCCACATGAGAGCACCCAGTGCCTGAGGCCAGGTATGGGGAGCTCCAACAGAATACATTGAACACTTGGAGAGCACAAATGGATACCTTAATGCATTCAAAGGGAGAGAGAAATAAAGACAGAGGCAGTCAGCAATGGTAAGGTAGTTACATGTACAGACATATATTATGATTTCTTTATATGTTGCAGTCTCTCTTGTTTAGGTTTTAACTATCATACAAATATTTGCATGAATGTTTATTGCGTCATTTTATCTAGCTCCATTCTTTAATTTCAGTGTTACTAAATTTCCTTTTGAATATACATAACTAGGCCATCAAGTGCCTTCTGTGATCAACATATGCAAATAAGACTGTGTGGATACTAAACAAAGCAAAGACACACTAGTACAAACAATACTTATTAATGCTAAAAACATAACATTTTACCTCAGGGATTTTAAGATAGCTGGAACCTCCTCCTCAACTTTTGAGCTTGGCATCTCAAAGGTTGGGTCTATCTGGCGGTAGATAAACTCCAGTATCTTCACAAACTCCTTGGTAGAGGGAGACTGGAGAGTCTTGGCTGACAAAGTGCCTGGGTAAGCGTGCTCTGTCAAGAACTAAAAGATATGAGAGAGACTATAAGGCAGGAAAAAGCAATAGATTCCTACACACTGCACAACACCTCCCTTTTTGCTGTGAATGCAGGTACAAATTAAGCTACAACTCAGTTTCACACTCAGCCAAATAAGGGTAGCAATAATAATATTTATTCAGTATGAATGTAATAACAGAAATAAATAAAATACAAACCAGATATCTGCAAGTATTAATAATATACAGTAGCAATCTAAGTAGAACCAAAGGTCTTTATAACAAACAATATACATCTTAGCTCTTCAGACCTTTGTGTGGTAAATGTGTCTATCACACATGGTCAGACAAAAGGATGCTGCTCAGCAGTTCAATGAAATGTGAAATATGTTCCTGTCTACCCCAGTGATGTGTTGGACATTATGCTGAGTCAGCCTTGACGGTGCTTTTGGATTAGATAGCTGCTTTGACACTGTGGACCTGTGGAGTTCAAACAAGAGTAACACTCTACAGTTTCTCTTGGATTGATCTGGATCTTGGAATTCTGGCTCCCTACTAAAGCCCTCTGCAAAAAAAACTTGGAGGTGATTTTCCACAGCAACCTTAGCTTTGAGAACCAGATCAGTTCAGTGGTAAGAGCCAGTTTGTTTCAGTTAAGACTTTTATCAAAAGTGAAATCTATTTGATCTTTTGGACATTTTCAAAAAGTCACTCATCCTCTCACTGGTTCAAGGCTGGATTATGTAATGTCCTGTATAATACTATAGGTCAAACCTCTGTCTCACATCTTCAACTCTTCTTTTAACGGGTGCGCATAAACAGGAGCATATTAGTCCCATTCTTTCCTCACTACATTGGCTCCCACTTTGTTACAGAATTGATTTTAAGTTATTATTATTTGTTTTTAAAGCTTTAAATGGTCAGGCACCATCATACCTTTGAGCTTTTAAATTATCACAACCCTGCAAGATCACCAAGATCTTCAAACCTGTATCTCCTGGAAATCCCTAGGTCAAAGTTCAAATGCGGGGCTGATGGGGCTTTCTCAGTGGTTGTTCCTAAACTCTAGAATGCCTTACTTATAAACCAACAGATCAGCATCAGCGCTACAGTAGGAGCTTTTATATCATAACCAAATGGAGACACATTTGCTCTGTTTTTCCTGATTTCTTATTAATTCTATTGTGTGAACTTTTTGATTATCTGTTATACTTTGTGTGGTTTTAACCTTGTGTGATGGTTTTCAATTATGTTCTACCATTTTTTGTTTAATCTTGCAACATTTTTTCTGTGAGACATTTACCATGTGCCACTGTGGTTATTTTGTGAAGCACTTTGGTACAACCTTTGTTTTTTTTTTAAATGTGCTATAAATAATAATAAATTTTGATGTGACTATGTGGCACCAAAGCTGAACACTTTCATACTGCACACAGTGGGTTTAATGTATTTAAGGTGTAGCCAACTTAAAACAGATAAGCCTTTTTGTCTGCATACACTTTACATGAACTATGAAATAGTTTTTTTGTTGTTGTTTTTTCACCTCGTGCAGCTGTCTGATACACTGCTGAACATAGGACTTATCATGCAGAGGTCTGCTATCTTTGATCTTCTCAGTTCCTCCAAACCTTGACATGATGCTGTTGCGAGGCATGCTGGCTCCACTAGTCCTGCAGTCATAACATAACAACCAAAATATCAAATATCAATTTCATTAACTGTGTACATAGATTACTGGAAAAGCAAAAGACACACCCATCTTTATTTGAAATAAATTTGTACATTTTTGAAACCTTATTCACGTACCGGGCACCAAAGAAGCTGGTCCGCCTTTCAGAGGTCACAGACTGTGGTTTTGGTATGTTGAGCTTTCCAAATAAAGGCTGTTTACTGTAAAAAAAACAAAAACAAAACCATGAACAAAAGATGTGTTCTTCTTGTCCACTCCTGTTTCTTTAGTGAGTCATTACATGTTCAAAAATAATGTTTCAAGTTCAACATCGCCCCATACCAAAAATAAGTCTATATGAAGCCCTTAATTAAACATTGCCTTAGTGGTGCCCCAATGTGTCATTGAACAGGTAGAAAATTAGAGCTTCAAGTTGTTTAATCAATTAGTATATTGGAAAAATATTAACCGGCAACTATCCCATCAATCAATTCATTATTAAAGTAACTTTTCGAAGAAAACTGCCACACATTTGACAATCCCAGGAGACCTTTGCTTAATTTTAACTGACAGATAAAAAACAAAAACTATAATTTGGGGGTTTTACCTATTGGTCAGATAAAATGACATAACCTCTTGCTCTATAATACTGTGATGGGCATTTGTCATTATTTTCAGATGTTAAATAGGCCAAACTATCCATCCACAATAACTGTACCCAACATCTTGCTTGGTCTACTGCAGTCCAAACTGACCTTTACTATTTTAATTCAATATTTTAGATATAGCCCTTTATTACACGTAGTAAATTACCTAGTGTACAATTGTTTTGTTAATGTTGGGTTATACCAACCACAAATCTGTATAATACAAAAGTGGGCTCAGTATACGGTATAGGAAATCAGTATCTTTGCAGAGCAACTACAACGTTATTGACTGAAATGATCTTAAACCAACTTCTGGGGCGTTGCATACGCCATGCTCATCCTGTTGTTGTCTTGCACTCGCAAAGGCAGCTCTGATAGTCTGCTGCTTGTTGCTCGACTCATCCTTCCACTCCTTCCACTGGATACAAGAAATGACAAAAACATGCCATTAAATAACGTTATCCTCTGGTTTTACGAAGTGCCTAAAATACACAGAACGGAATACTGGGGTGATAGCGTTGGTTCCATTTTGAAAGCCAGTAACGTTAGTTAGTGTTAACTTCAGGTCTGTCGGAGTGTCAGTGCATGTTATGCAGTAACTGAACTAGCGTTGTAGCTACTATACTAGTTCAGTGGTCTGACTAGACAACTCGACACGCCTAGTTAGTCATATTCTAGCCAAATCTAGAATCCCCGTTAGAAAACACAGTTGAGATACAGCACTTATTAAGCTTGGTAACACTGTTTTAAGTTAACGATAGCTAAAACTATGGCTAGCGTACACACAATATGGGCGACTGACAGAATCTTTAACCAAGATTAGCATGACTATTATAATTTGTCAGAATCTTGTTCACTACTTTCCCCATGATACCAAATAACTTTACAATGTTTTCAAACGAATTTAAAACATACCGCTCCATATTTCGTAGGTGGAAACGTAGCTATACAGAAATAAACATAAGGGCTGAATTGGCAACGAACATACAGAAACAAACCCCGCCAAAACAATACAAATACTGATGGCGGTGACATCACCAGAGAACGGAGAGCAATTTGATCCAAAAAGGCTGCGTATGCGACTCGTCCACGTCCTACATATGCATTTTCATGCTCAGGAAGAACATGTAATATTATAGTCTCTTAACTTAACTATAAAGCCAACAGAGGAAAACAGTTTAAAGGGGGTAAAGTATCTGACAACTACTGTATTACTATTTTATTTTATTGATTTGACTATGGCTGTAATAACCCTTAATGCGTTTGATAGATTTGTCACGTGATCATACTGTTGTATGTAGTATAGCTGGTTTAAATTATCCAACTAAACATCATATCACAATACAGTGCCTATAAAAAGTATTCAGCCCCTTGGATGTTTTACCCTTTTATTGATTTTATAAATCAGTTGTGGTCAATATTATTTGGCTTTTTGGACAATAAAAAAAAGAAACTACAAAAATCACTTTAATGTCAAAGTGAAAACAGGTTTCTACTGAGTGACCTTGCAAGAAGGAGACTAGTGAAAGAAGCCACCAAGACACCTATGACTACTCTGAAGGAGTTACAAGCTTCAGCAGCCGAGATGGGAGAGACTCTGCATAGAACAACTGTTTCCCAGGTTCTTCACCGGTCAAAGCTTCATGGGAAAGTGGCAAAGAGAAAGCCACTGTTTGAACAAAACTCATATGGGAGACTCCATGGTCAATTGGAAGAAAGTTCTTTGGTCTGATGTGGCAAAATATAGGAAAATCCTGGAGAACAATCTTATTCAATCTGCGCGAAAACTACAGCTTGACACAAGATTTTCCAGCAGGATAATGACCCGACGCATACGCCGAAAGCTGCACAGAAATGGTTTAAAGACAACAAGGTGAGTGTTCTGGAGTGGCCGAGTCAAAGCCCAGACCTCAATCCAACAGAGAATTTGCTGGACTTGAAAAGGGCTGTTCATGCCCGATTCCTGCACAAACAGGCAAAGAACCACAGGCAGAGCTTGAGCAGTTTTGCAAAGAACGACATAAAACTGCAGCATCCAGATGTGCAAGCCTGACTGAGACCTATCCACACAGATTCAGTGCTGTGATTGCAGCCCAAGGTGCTTTTACTAAATACTGATTGATGGGGGTGAATATTTATGCAATCATTTATTTCCCATTACATATTATTTAATTGACACTGCTTTGTAGAAACCTGTTTTCACTTTGACATTAAAAAGGTTTTTTTTTTGTAACTTTTTTTTGTCATAAATGCTAATGCTATTGACCATGATTGATTTATAAAATCAATAAAAGGGTAAAACATCCATGGGGTGAATACTTTTTATAGGCACTGTATGTGATTATTGATGTTCAGTGTAGCCCGTTTCTCCAAAGGGCACAACACAGAATTACAAGATGGCATTTTAAAGACAAATAGGTTAAAAAGACAATCCTTCTGGTTTAAGTTTGTTCTGACATCTATATACAGAAATACTGATAAAGGGTTTTCTGTTTGTAGGTTCTCCCTCATGTAACCATCTCTCTTCAGTTCTTTATGGCCTGTCTGGGTAGAGCAAAATCCAGCTCCTAGACTTTTGTTTACAAAATGAAAAATCAGATTAAAACTTTGAGCAGACAAGTGACAAAGAGAAGTAGAAAATTTATTGCAGTATTTGTTCCACCAAAAGGGTATGAATCCCCTTTCCTCTTATTACTAGGGTGACCTAATACAACAAAATCTACATTTACAAAATATCCTCCTGCAATAGGCCACATATACTGCATGCGTAGTTCGAAATAGAATAAATTATATTCAGAGGACTCTGCCATTGTACAGCATGGACAAATAAAAGTGAACAAAAATAAAAATTTTTATTTTTTCTCTTTTTTCATTTTCTTTCAAATATCTAAAAGCTAAAAGGAAAAACCATCAGGGTGCTAAATAGTATAATAAACTTCAAAAACACTTTAATAAGAACATCAAAAAGACTAATTTCCAACATTCACTTAAGGTTTTATTCTTTTTTTTACAGCTTTTTTGTCTTCAGAGATATAAACATTTTAGTTTTTTTTGTTGTGTTAAACTATGATACAGTGGGAGTAGAAATGAGCGACTAGAATCTGCTGCACAACAGCGAAGGAGCTCCCACAACAATGTTGACAAAACATTTCCCTCCAGGTCTCGTCTGATAGACTTTTTAAGGGATAATTTGGGTGAATTATTCCTTTAATGCCTTCTGGATTCTATCCTCAGAACTTGCACACAAACAAAACATGAGCAGTCCCTCTAATATAATAAGTCTTATGTTTTGTGTCATTTCTGCAAGAATAACTCATGTAAAATTATGTAGTGTCAAATATTCTTGCCCTCTTGTGTTTTCTTACAAAAATGAGGAAGGAAAGAAGGGTAGGAATCCAGTGAAGTTTGGCTGTGTTGTAGGTGGCAGGTTGAGGAGGAGCAGGGAAGAGAGGATTCTTACTCCCCCCATGATTACCTTCTTTCCCCTAGCCTCTGACCCCTGAAGATCTGTGAAAAGGATGTGTGTGGCTTTCTTTAAAAAAAAAAAAAAAAAGGGAAAAAAAAAAAAAAAAAAAAAAAAAAAAAAAAAAAACAACCACGCAGGAGCCATTAGCTGGCTCCTCCTTCCCGCGCTGCATACATTGAGCGTAAAGTCTGTACCACCTTGTTGCTCAGTTTGTGGTTGCTGGTCAAGGCAATCTTCTTATAAATGATGTCCGACTCCTTAATAGTGTCCACCCAAGGCACCAGTTTGCGACCATCGCGTTTCTTGGCCTCTGCCCAGGGCCCTGAGTAGGAGCCAGCCATCCAGTGGATGCTGTATCCATTGGAAGTCTTGTTGATGACTCGAGCTATTTGGGGCCGGTCCTTGTATTTGGGGCAACAAAGAGCAATCACATCCATAGGCTCCACTGTTTCACTCATACGGCCGGGGTCTGAGGAGTCAACCGTTCGCCTCGACTTTCGAGAGGACTGCAGGGAAGACAGAAGGGGAAAAAAAGGTTACCCTATTTCCCCCCCACATTCAAAGTTTTGTTTATAAATAGTGTGTGTGCGTCTATCTCACCCCTGGAGTCCTTTCGTCACCATCACTATCATCGTCATCTGTCTCTGGTCCTGCCTGGTTACGTGGACTGGGTCCCAACATGGGGCCGGAGCCTCCCAGTAGGGCGTTTATGGCTTTGTTTCTGATGTTAGCGCTGGCAGATGCTTCTCCCTCCTCGTCCTCCTCGTCTGGGTCCAGATGTTCCATTAGAACCTTAAACTATGGAGTGAGAAGGCAAGAAACTAACTTTGAGACAAGTTTTACATTCCTCAGCAGTTAAATATTGACATCTAAGAACCATATGTGACAGACTAGAGTTGGTTTAACCATTAAATTATGAGTACTGAATGAGTTGAAGGGTAAAATTCTTGAATATCAAAGGCACACATATCCCAGAGATGTTAGAAAATTAAAGGTCATGTTCAGTATAATAAACCAATGAAGGCTGCCATTGTATTAGCATCAAGCTGCCATGCTATTCAGCCAATTAAAGCTGTTGCCATAATCAGACATTTGTATATGTCAAATCGTAATATTTAAATAGCTTCAATACTTACATCTAGGTACTGTTTGACTATCCGCCTCTTGACATCGTCTGTCAGTGTGGCGTGAGCCATGTTGTTGGAGATGAAGTCAATAGTTTGTCGTGGGTGGAAGTGAACATTGCTTTTTCTGTTCACTGCCTTATCGTACACCTTGGCTGACTCTGTTGGAGAGTACTTCTGAATTTTACTGTTGAAAAAAAAAAAAATGTTTGAGTTACAGAGGACAAAGAGCAACCAACATAGATGAATTCCTGAGGTGGTAAAAGTAAACCATATGGAAAAGTTTAAATTTATTCATTTAGATAAAAGTTGTTTAGAAACCAAGGTTATGAAGATCATACCTGTCAGAAAACCCATATTGGTTCTTCAGATGCTGTTTGAGTACCAGAAGCAACAGGATGCCCTGAACAGCACTGGCAAAGTCCAAGAGACCTGTGGGATTGTCTGGGAGGAGCCTCATCACTTTGTCCACATCATCTACATCCAAATCCTCCAGATCAGAGTCCGACTCTGAGGTCTCAGAGTCTGCAACAGGTTTTCTGACCTTTTTAGGCCGCCGTACCACATCATCATCATCATGGTAGTCTTCATCATCGTCGTCGCTGTTACTGTTTTCATTGTCTTCACTCCTGGGAGAATCGCAGTTCATCTTTTCCTCTTCGTCCTCTCCATCAGACATGTTTTTCCTCTCTTTCTTTACTTTCTTCTCCATTCGCCTTGGTTCCTTTAGCAGAAACTTTACAGACAGAAAAGAAAATTGAATTAAATCCATAATAAAGTTAACAAGTTCTGTGGTGTGCTTTTCAGAGAAAAAAAAAATAAAAATCAACCCGATTTATTAAGGAAATGAACAGCTCAAAGGAGCATTCTGAGTGCGATCAACTTTCAAAAATGCCTACCTCTTTGAAGGTTTGCAACAAGTTGCTGCCAGAAACAGAGAGGGTGATGTCTATGTGATGCATGATGAAGAGAGGCTCCTCCTGGCTCTGGTATGGAAAACAGGCAAGGTTGTCTGCAATAAACAGCAGCATGTTCACATCGGTCTTCTGTGGAAAGAAAGAAAGAGAAGTGTTAAGAGTAAATATCAGGGAAATTTCATATTGCTGTGTTCGCTTATTAGAATTTTAATTATGCACATACAACCAAAAAAAAAACTAGCTTTGTCAAACTTGTGAGACAGTAAAACAATGAGACATGTTGTAGTGCTCAAGATCAGTCTTAGTCTTGAGACCAGTCTTCGTGATGACTTTTTGAGGGTGGATGATAAAACACAGGAATGTCGAATAAAGATGGTCAAGTTCATTTCAGCTCCTGAGTGGAGTGTTGAGTGTGTATGTGTGTGTGTGTGTGTGTGTGTGTGTGTGTGTGTGTGTTCAGAGAAGTCAAAGAAAGTCCCACACATAAAATTTGCCTCTGCAATGCCTTTTGCTTATTTCATCAAGACATTTCTCATGACACACAACTCTGTATAATAAAATAAAAGAGGTGAATGAAAAGGAATATTAATTAGTTTACTGCAGGTGTTTTTATGGGAATGTGGATCATTCAGACCAATTTAAGAAATGCCGTTTGCATGTTCCACATTTTTTTGTACGCCATGCACTGTGGGAGTTGCACTGGTCTGGTCTTGGTCTTAACTTGGTCTCCACCCCTTAAAGTCTTGATCTTGTCTTGATGCACTCTGGTCTTAGTCATGACTTGGTCTCAGTTTAGGTGGTCCTGACTACACTACAGTGGGATCTAAACTAATAGGGTTTGTCATGTCTGTATAAAAGGTATTGTTGCCTGTATCCCTAACAGTGATATAAAACACTTATTACATTTCTTGAAAAGGCACTCCTGGCAAATGTCTAACAAACATGATGGAGATGTTCACCTGGCACGTAGTTAATGAGTAAATACCACTTTACACCGAATAGTGCAAATATGTTTAAGCTCAGCGCAGGTTTACTCACAGCACTATCGTCAAAGAGGTTCAGCAACGAGATGAGGAAAGCCCTCCGGTGCTGTCGATTCCCCCGGATCATAGTGAAGAGGTGAGCGCAGAGTGCTGTGTGGGTCTCATCCTGTCTGAAACCTCTTATGATGGACTTACGAGGCAAATCGATTGCCTGCTGCAAATTGTATGACATCTTCATCCCAGCAACTGCCTTCATCTGTTAAAGAATGAGTTGACAGAGATAAGTTACAAACCTAATTTTTTAGATAACTGCTGAGATAGCTGCTGCAATGGTGATGTGCCATTAAAATAATTAGACTAAACTGTATTTCTCCAGCACTACAAAAGTTCCAGCTACATTGTGAAAAACTATATTTGACAATCAGATCAATATTAGCATCATTTTATACATTCGGTCACAGGTGCTAAGATGGAACCTATCCAGGCACAAATGGCTTAACTAGTCTAAGTCATAGGCAAAACAAAAACAAGCCATAGACTCGACTACAATCAATATCTACTCACATGGATGAATCCTGTGTATTTCTTGTCAATCTCCACCAGCTGCTGGTCAGATTTGTTCCTCATGCTGGGCTCTGGGTCTGTTCCCATTGCAATGAGGTAGGGTACACACTACACAGACAGGACAAAAACAATGTTATGCTTACATACCTATGTTTAGGAAGTAAGTAAGTAGACTAACAAAAGAATATTTTAAGGAAGAAAATCACTGGATACGATACCAAAAAAGTCAATATCCAAAAGAGAAAAAAGTATTTGTTTGATAATGATATCTACAAGTCCAATTCTCTGACAAAGATGTGGTTCAAAAATGAGACATTACTATCAATCACTTACTGGTGGTGAAATGTGTTCACAGGCTCTGGCTTTCACTTCTTACCTGTACAGGATGGATGAGACCCTGGTTGAGTGTGAGAGCTACGACGTTAAGAGCAAAGTGCCGTACACTGGACTGGGTGTGGAAGAACGCCTCCAACACCTGTTTTAGATAAAGCTGCATAATGGAGCTGCTCATCCCTGAAGAGATGTCTCCCATCTCCTTGAGATCCTCCTGTTTAGACAGCTTCTTCCCTGCAAGGACACAAAACCTGTGTTATCTGTTCTTTATGATATACATTTAGTCAGCTGATGTAACATATTCTGTTGTAACAACCCTTATGGGCAAAATGTTTGAATAAAACAGTTCATTAATCATGGTGCATTGTTGAAGATGCCACCAGAGGACAGTGCTGAATCAACAACAGCCACAGCTTTACTTACATTCTCTGTCTGCTTCCTGCATCCGTGTGTCCTCCTCCTGAAGGTATGTCTGGAGGTTTTTGAGGATCTGGATTTTGAGGTTGATGGAGGAGGAGCTGTCAGCCAGGATGCCGTTGTACAACACCTTCACATCAGACACAAACATCTGGCTGGGATGCATGATCACGAGGAAGCCTGAAGGACATGAATAACAAACAGCATACATATCTAAGAACAAGTCAACAAAACGGTCTCCATCTACATCATCTCCACCTGCTGGGGCAAGAACGTCTGTTGGAAATCAGCTCATCGCACATCTCTGTAGGTCAGCAACACAGCAACACAACTTCCTATGCTATCACTCTTTACACACTCAGTGGCTACCATTTTAACACAAACATAATGTGGTGACCTTTACATTTGTCACACCTAGTCATATTTAAAAATAGTGCTCTTGCCTAAGCCGATGATGGCTTTGGTCTTGACCTCCTCGTCCTCATGTCTGGTGAAGTAAAGCAGCAGCTCGAGAACTTTCTCCTTGATAACAACCTGTACACGTTATACATCAACATAGTTGTGAGGCAGGAACATTTTATCAGTTGGTATAGCATCAGCAAAACTGGCAGAGCAATGGCTTTGGTTTCACATCTAAGCAAATTATCTTGGCCTGCAGTAACATTTTATCTAGCTGTGGTTGAGCCCAAAAACTAATAACTGCACATAAAAATTATAATACATAGCCTTCCCAAGGTTTAATTACAAATGTCCATTATTAAACATTAATTGCCATCCTACCTTGTTGGTGCCCTTAAACTCCTCTAGATCAAAATCAAAGTGTCGGGCCAGGGCACCCACAGTGAAGAGCGATCGCAGCAGGAAAGGCTTGTTTGCTACCAATGTGGTGCTGTTTGGATCCTCCTGATGCTGATTCTTGAGCTTGTTAAGTGCACCTAAAAAGAATGTGAAGTTATTTTTAAGAAAACCTAGATTATTTGTGAGTATTTGTGTTTGCATTTCCCAGTTTAGGCTTTTTCTTTAGTACAACATGCCGGGTCAAACACAACTCTTCTGAAGGGATATGGGGATATGCTAAATGTGTGGAATTGTTTGGAAAGTTGAAAGACAAGTTATATTTCCTTGCATTAGAATGTGGTTAACGTGACACTTCAAAGCTAAACACTGCAGGCTTCCTTTATCCTTGCCAAAACAGTGCATACAACACCAAAATGATTGTACATCTCACCATAGAATCTGTTGAAGCAAGCCCAGACAAACTTGTAGTTGTGCGTGACTTTATTGACAATAGCCCCAAGACAACTCACACAGTGCTGGACCACCTAGATGAAGGACAGTAGAACATCATGTCATCTCTTTAACAACATTTTACATTTCAGAGAGCAAGCCTAAGTCTACTGCGGTGCATCCTATAAGCATTTGTAAAAACATGACTGCCACTCACTGTCATGCCATGTCTGATGATGAGCTTCATGAGGTCTTCTTCTATTGTGGCAAGGAAAGTTTCACTGGGATGCTCCATCAAAGGCACCACAAGCTCGAGGATCTTTGCCACATTACAGATGACCATGAAGTCATTGGCAGTCTGCAGGAGAAACAGTATAACAATAATTAGTGGAGAACCTGTGACAGATAAGGCACCAACAATGACTCAAACACTGGCAATACATTTCCCCACACCGATGCAAAGAATCATTAATTATGTTATTAGAACTGTTTTTAAATAATTATGCAATTAAAAAAAGATTTTTGTGAACAACTTACATTACACTTTGTGGTCAGGTAGGGTTGCATGGTCATGGCATGTTTGACCATGAGCTGGGCCCTGATCTTGCTGAATAAGTACAAGGTTGTGATACATGCCACTAACCGTGTTGAATTTACACCTTTGTTCTCTACAGAGGAAAGACAAAATAAAAAAGCATAGAAAAAAGTGCTGTGTTTAAGTATTAATACACATTTATGTTTTGATTCTATCAAACTTTCAGTGAGGGCTGCTTAAGTCATCTATCCAGTATAGACAGTGGTTTAGAAGAAAATCAACTAGTGCATTATGAGTTTATGTTGGTGTCAAAAAATAAACTTGAATACCTGCAAGAGACTCCTCGTATTTGAGGATGTGTTCTACCAGATTGTCAACTAGCTGAACACAAGCTTTTTTGGCTGGCTTATACGATGCCTCCTCTTCAGATTTGAGAAGCTAGAGCAAGGGAGACAATGTTTACTTTAATAACCGTTTAAAACACTGATCCCCACCCTGACACAAATACTTACATTCTGAAGAAGTTGCTCAAACCAGTCATAGCCAGTGTCTCGACACGCTGCAACCTGAACAAGAAATCAGATATGAGAAAATAAAATACACTGACTAAGCTTAACCATGATACAGAGTAAGGCTCTGTGAGAGATTTTGCCTTTTTGTTTAGGTTTATTATTTTTATTACTGGATACAACTAAGTGGAAGTCAGTTAACCTACCACATCAGTGATGTTCAGGATTTTTCTGGTCATGGTCTCTTTGTCATGGGCTGGAGTTGGAGTAAACCACAACTTCTGGAATGTCTCATTCACTAGTTTCTATACAGAACATGTTAATGTGTCATTAGTTTGTATCCACATTTAGACATCTTTTTGAAAATTTAGGTTTTTGTGATGGACATATTGCAAAACAGAAAAATTGATCTAAAAAGAGGCATATGTCATAAACAGAATAATGATAATTAAATTGAACTCTTAGATCAAATCAACTATAATTGTTAAGAGACAAAGATGCAATTGATCCATACCTTGATACCCTCTTCATCATTGACCCTGCGGATCATCCTCACACACATCTCAGTAATTTTACTGAAGGTTGGCTGCTCTAGACAGATGTCTCTGAGGATCTTGATCACCCGTTTTCTTACACTGATACCAGTGTCCTGTGCACCAAATTCAATTCATAAGAGCTTTGCAAGCATTATACCACAACAAGACTCATTTTCATTTACAAAAACATAAAATAAAAAACATATAATATACTATTGCCCATGGTGCAATAGTATAATTTTGACAACAGGTGGCAGTATAAGACTGTAATGAAGAATGAACTTTTCATGAACCCTCCTGAACATTTCCATGACAACAGGCACAACAACTTCAATGCCTTCACTTGTCAGATGCTGAGTGCAAAGAACAAGTACAAGGCTTTTATGTTGGACTGTATTCTAATATAGATCTGTGTTAATCCAATGATGCCTTTAAACTTGCTCCTTATTCAATTATTTTAGTTATGTAAAAGCAAACATTCAACACAAAGCATATTAAGCAACTTTTCTTCAAACTCAGTCCCTGCAGTGCTTTCCCATGCATTCTCAGCAACCCAAAAAAAAGTGCATCCCTGCCTCTGTATAAGAAGTGGCCTCATTTATTCTATTTGCATACAAGTTAAACAGATGCATGAAACAGAACATCCATTTTCACACTAGTTTGTTCGTGTGAGCAGTAACCAAAAAATGGCCTTTAAAGGGTAAAAGTCTGTAAGTATATTATAGGTGTGAGGGGGCCAATTGTTTTCCCAAAGGTTTCCATCTCAGAAGTGCACAATGACTCTACCACACTTCAAAGATACCTCATCAAAAAACAAAATAAGCATTAGAGATGTGAGGCGGCTTCAAACGTAATATTCAACTGTTATAATTAACATCACAACATAGCTGTGAAGTGCAAATTCCAAGGTAATATGTCATACTATATTTGGTATGTAGAGAAAGCAGAGCATGGCCTTATTGAGAAACTGGCAACAGCTCAAAAAAATCTTGTCTATTTCAAGAAATCATTGTTCTAATTGGAGCATCTTAAAGGCAGACAAGCGGTGTTGCATAAACATTGAGGTCATAGTTAAGGTGGCGTTGTACATTATATTCAAAGGTGTTCTTAATATTCTGACCCTCTCGTGTATGTAGCTGGGGAGGACAAAAATACAGACACCTCTGAATATAATGTAGCCCAGTACACCACCTTAACTATGGCCTCAATAATAAACATATGATTGAATTTATACATTTATGACAATTTCACCAAAACCTGAAACGTTTTGCATTGGATTGCATACAGCTGTACATGTGTACCTAATCAAGTGGCCAATGAGTGTAGATCATGTGTGTACTGTATATCACATGTGTCAAACTCAAGGCCCACAGGACACATCCAGCCCGGCGTACAATTACATCCGGCCCACGAGATCATTTTATATATCTTTTTTTTAATGGCCTGGCGATATGAAGTGCCAATAACACACAAACTACAAATCCCATAATGCAGCACAACAGCTGCCTTACCGAACGATAGGCTACCTGCGATCATTCTCACATCAATTACGTCAGATCGATCAAGCGTCTGTTGATGTATACAACCCTAATTTCAAGTCAAAGCTAGCCCCAAACAATGGCCAAGAGAAAAGTTGATTCTGAAAACAGAGCCTTTCTAAACCGGTGGGAGGCTGAGTATATGTTTACTGGCATTGCCGGTAAACCTGTGTGTCTTATTTGTGGAGCTAATGTGGCTGTAATTAAGGAATATAACCTAAGACGGCACTACGAGACAAAACATCAGGACAAGCTGAAAAACGTGAATGAAGAGCAGAAGCTACAGAAGGTAGAGGAGTTGAAGAGGAATCTGACATCACAGCAGACGTTTTCACCAAAGTGAAATCACAGTGAAGCTGCTGTGAAAGAAGTTTTATTGGAGCAGAGGAGAAAATCAGCCCGGACATTTACCGAGGGAGAGTTTCTGAAGAGCTGCATGATGAAAGTGTGCGACATCTTGTGTCCAGACAAAAAGCAGGTGTTTGCAAATGTAAGCCTTAGCAGAAATACGGTGGCTGATTTTAAGTTGAAGTTTATTTATTTTGGAATGATATTGTATCCTGTTTCGATTCATATTTATGTTCAAAACACGTTTAGTTTTAGTCTGTTCAATAAATTTTTATCCTGTTTGGCCCGCAACCTAAAGTGTGCTTTGGGTTTTGGCCCCTGTGCGATTGAGTTTGACACCCCTGCTGTATATAATTTAATATAGTTCATGTGAGGATTGTAAAACAATGCAATAATGTGTCTATGAGGCTGACTGGGCAACTTACCAGTATCCTCTCTATGAGCATGTCATAGTACTGTTCAGTGAGTTGGGGTCGGCTGAGAACAAATTTGCCCAGAAGCTCCACAGCTGCCTCTCTCACACTGGTGGAGTTGTCCATCAAACGACCATGGACACCACGCTGCATGTCAGACTGCAGAAACAGAGCAGAGTGTGTCGGTATATAGCACAGAAGGGAAAAAGACTACACCGTAAGTTTTATATACAACAGAATAGGAGTGACATAATAAGGAAGTACATTTTAACAAAGCAAGAATATGACACAAACAGAAGTTAAGACAGCCTACCTCATGCAGTTTGTGAGATTAATATACAAATCAAGCATGACAAACTGCCTGGGCAGATCTTCACATACCCTTGCCAGTATACTCGGATCAACAGCCACAACTTCAGTCAGACATTTCATGGCTTTAGTCCTTACAGCAATGGCACTTTCCCCAAGAACTCGCAAGATCTATAAAAAATGTAAACAAGAAATTGCCAGCTTATGATTACACAGACTGATCTTTTTTCAACTGGAAAACCAGCTTTAATGTCACCTGTATTATACTGTGTAGATGATTTACAGATTAGCTTATGTAGCTATTGTGCTTCATTAAAAACATGTATACTTAGTATAGGAATATTCATATATTACCTGTGTTAAATAAATATCAAAGCTTTGGGCGAACGGCCTCATGGAGGCCAAATAACGCACAATCAGACAGGAGTCATCATAGTCCACAGTGTCAGAGTTCATTCTATAAGAAAAGGGCAGGGAGGAAGAATGTTACAGGACTATACAGTCATTCAACTGGCAGTGAGACTGTAACTGCAGTTGTGACACCAAAAAAGAAACAGGTAAGGCATGACAGTGCTATATGAGTGATATGGATCATATTCCCAAAACAGACCCAAATCCTTACTTCAGTGTAGCGAAATGAGCTGGCATGGTCTTGATGATGTTGCGCAGAAACTTCTTGCGCTTCTCAGCACGCTGCATAATTTCACCGGTGGTCTCCATCTCCTTGGCATGTTGTGGTCCATCTGACGAGTCTTCATCCTTTGGATTCTGGTTCCGCATGGACTTCTCAGCCTCTGTGGTGGCATCCCGGAACCACTGGGCAATGTAGAACTTTCTAGCAAACTAGAGGACACAGAAAGTCTCAGGATAAGATGTATAAAATTCAAATATAATTATTTCTTTAGAGCAGAGGTAAGACATCAATTAAACAATCTTATTCACAGGTACTAAGTGACACTATTAGCCAATAATGCTATGTGTGCCTTTAATGTAGCCTTTTACTTCTAAAGAAAAATGTGGAGTGCGTTGTTGATAAATTTGATAAGATTATAGTATAAATTTATGGCTGGATGTTTTCAGTGTTGTGCAGCGGCAGTTATCTATAAGAAGGTGCTTCCATAGAAGACTAAATTCAACTAAAAACCAATGTTACGCTCAAAACATGCGCCTAGATTTCTGATAACTAGAGCCTGAACAGAGTTTAACTTGAACAGTCAGTCTAAAGTCAACCCACCACCAATGAGGGATCTGTCTCTGCATTCTCTTCCAAGTAGTCCAGTAGAGCCTTCTGCAGCTGCTGGGTCTCATCATTACCTGGAGTCTATACAGAAAGAAATTCCATATTCAACAAAGCTTGTTTCACTTGACCTATTGTTGTCACTATAAACCATCAACTTCTACATTCAATAGAAAGTGAGGACATCAAATATGAAATTGATCTTCTACCTCTTGTAGGATCCGATCAATCGATCTCTGGTCCATCTTGCTGGTGACTGAGTCCTTCCTCAGACGGGCAGCCACTGTGCCCAGGTAGTCTAGCGATGCTACTCTCAGAGCCATCTCTGTCTGCTTATTACTGAACTGGTGTACCTGATAGCAGCAGAGACAGAGAGTGAAAGAAGGAACATTAGAAAAGATGTCAGCAAGAAATGCACTGTTGAGACACCTATCATAATACACTTTAGACCCTAACTGACTTTCACTTGCAAGCTGAAATGAGAAAAAAAAAAGAAACAATTAAATTAGTGCATTTAAGATGAAATGCGTTCTTGGTACATCCTGAAATGTTTAAATATTTCACTGCCACAAATTCACAAGTAATTGTGTTAAGATGTCTGAGCAAGTACAGCATCCAAAACTAGAATTAAAATGAACATCTTAATGAACTACAACATCAATGCTTTAAAAGCAAAGAATAGATACAATCTCTTCTAAGTAATGGGTTGCAACCTGTAAAGTGGAAGTCTTAGTATTATAAGGGTTCTTTTCCATCAGAGTATCTTAAAGCTGCCCTATGAATTTTGTTCATCTGGCACCAAGAGTTGCATTTCCTGTTTATTAAAGAAAGCACATGGTCATACTAACCAGTAGTCTACCAAGCAGACTGAGCAGCAGCTCTGCAGCAGGCCACTCTGGCTTGTTTACTGTCGAAAGCAGGTCCTGGACAAAGTTCTCAAACAATGGCCGGTAATCTTCTTCTCCCTGCTTGCTGCCACACCTGGGGGAATGGGAAAAATAAGACAGTAGCAGATGAAGGGGTAATAACAGGAAAATACAAAGAACAAAGGGAAAGCATGAGGAGAAAGAATTAATGGTATCCATTACATACAGGGGCTGGGGGCCATGAAGAAACCAGATAATTAAAAGCTGTAAGGCTTAATGAGCCAAAAGAAAAAAAATCAACAAAACATTATAAGGTGCTTGACTACTTCATGATGCACTCCAGAGCAATGTTTTAACAACAATATTGTACATAATAGGTAGGGTTGGGTATCAAGAACCGGTTCCAAGTTGAAACCATTACCAAATTTTCAAGAACCATGGATTTGTTACGACACATGCATTTATTTTCAGCATTTCGGTTCCTGTTGCATATTTCAATCATCCTCCCATGTGAACTGCAATGAGTGTTATACAGTCGACAGAGGTTTCACTTATCTGCCAGGACCTGCTATGCAGACCTAACCATGGCTGACCATAGAAAACGTGAAGTTCGGCATAGCTTCACCAGAAAGATAATGACACAGCAAAAGACAATAACTGAAGCTTTTACTTCATTGCGACGTGAATCTGAAGGAATGCAGGGTGTTCGATATGTTGTGCTCTTCCATGCACAGTAATGCCACAGATACAGCTAATGTTAACATTAGCAAGGTCTCACACTGAGATATAAAAAAAACATAGATGAGCTGGCATTCTCCTTTTATAGTTAAGGTAAGCAAATGTGTTCTACAAATTATTTTAATATATATTTTTCTTTAAACATGTTCGGAGAGCACCCATCCAACAGTTCATCCCCATTCCTCAGAGAACCCCGCCCCGAAGCAGAAACTCCATTTATTGAGTCTCTATCGTTTAGGTAGGCAAACTGTATTGTTGATATCTAGTTAATCACAGCAAAATCCATGAACTTTGGCCTTGGTATTTTCATGTTAGCAGATCAGAAACAGCTGACAAAATAACTAACACTATAGTCTACAGTAAAGTGTGGTTAGGACTACTCTGTGATAGCTGTTAAAATGAGTAACATTTCTCTGCAGGGAGAAGGCTAAGGCCCTAAATCCGATCATTTGACTTTTTTCCCATTGCTTATTTAAATAGTTTTGGTTTATATTTTTTTAAATAATGATTGCTAAAAAAAATAATATTTATTTTTATAAATGAAAGGAAACTTTTGTGTCACGTTTGACAGGTTAGTGATTATAGCCCTAATACACTAAGACACAAGAATAAAGGAAGGCAAATTTTTGTTCCTGAAATATTTGGTCT